GTACATCTTTCAGGGTTCATACACATTTCTGCACACGGAAATTAAGGACTTTTAAGGACCGTTAATGAAAAAAATTAAGGACCTATGAGCAAATGGGAACTGAATAAATTCAATTGAAGATATTATCTATGCCTGAATTTCGTTTTTGCAACACCATCCTAAAAATAAAATAGATCCCTAAGTAGTACGCATTATTGCTAAACAAGAATTAATTAACATAATTGTTAATAAGTTTGAGAATAAAATAAACTTTATGCAATTTATCAAGTAGCATTAAATATTTTACACTTATAATTGTTTGTCATTTTTGAAAGAAGATAAGTGACATTTACGTTTTACTAAAAGTTAGCTTTATGTTGATTTTTGTTACAATCTCATTTTGTCACATACTTGGTCAGTCTAGAGGTTTAGTAAATAGCAGGTAGATTTTAGGTCAAACTGCATAAGTTAAAATGAGAAGCAAGATCATAATCAGCATGATTCATAACTAAAAGACTGAATGTTGTCACCGCTGCTGCTTGTCTACAGAAAGACCTGCTGATTAGAACAAACCTGAAAGGCCTGATGTAGGCAAGGTTGGCAAGTGTTGAAAGTTAGTCAGGTTCTGTTTCATGCAGTTAGTGCCGTAGCTTCGTGTACAGTTCCAGGGGTTGTAACCCAGTTAACATACTTTAAGGTTCCAATTAGCCATTAAAGCAGGGGTTGTAACCCAGTTAACATACTTTAAGGTTCCAATAAGCCATTAAAGCACCAGAGGTGATAAGTTGTTTTGTATTATTTTTAAGTAGATGCATAGAATATGTTTTACTTGAATTTTTACATTTTTATAATTTATCTTGTGACCACAGTGAGTATTAATGAAAGGTAATAACTCGCTTTAATATGTAGAGATAATTTTTAAGGGTAAGCAGTTAGTTATAAATAATTAAATTACATAGTTTGATAACCATTATGGATTTACATGACCACTATTAAATTTTATTTTTTAACAATATTTGTTAAAAAAGCTCTATTTAAATCAAAATCTGATAAAATTTCACAGTTTAAAGTTTCTTAAACGATATTAAGATAATTACGCATTAAAAGCTACAGAACATTTATGTTTTGTAACAACAACAGTCAAAAAATATTTATCCATCATTTTAATTTGAAGCCTTCCCAGACATTTTGGCTAGTTTATATAGATTTCCTTCTTTTTTAAGCATCTTTTCTAACAATTAGAGATTTGTCTCAATATGCAAATCAATGCTGTCGCTAGTTTCTGAGTCTTTATCTCCTAACTTGTCAACCTCTCCACAATATACCTATGAGGGTTTAATTGATATGGCAAAAGTTAAACAGTACAAAACTCCCGACAGGCGTGAAGCATATTATCGCTATGTCTGAAATTAACTACAATAATATTAGAAAAAGGTTTAAATAAACCTCTTATTTAAAAAAGAGCTTAGAACATAAAGGCATGTTCTGATGCTAACAAAATCAATTACATCTCACGGTGATGCAATTAAACAAGAACAGTCAAATTGAAACTAATAATGTGGACTAATGGTCAAAGATTATACAATTTAATTTTAATTTAATCTGGCTCAATAACTCTATCATATGAGGAAATAGAAATGGGGAATTATAGTAAAGGTTGAAATCATGAACAATTGGGTAATTTGCATAATAATAACTGCACATATCTTTGAAGAATAATTTCCTTTATGTATTCAGTTTCTTTCTTCAACACGTTTCCTTTTCATTTTAGAATTTTTGGATTTAATTAAGGATTTCTGTTATTCTAAAAAACACTAAATGCATTTAGAATGTACAGAAAAAGCGGCTAATTTTATTTCTTTAGTAATATGAACATTCAGAAGCAATATGAAATATATATAGTAAAAGGCCGGTTACAGAGCTGATGTGGCAGAATTTCTAGAATTTAGTGACACACCGAACAACAAAATCTAGAAATGGCAAAACGTTTAGGAATTATAGCAGGCATTGGAAGCAGAATTTAGAAAGGCACTAGGCAACAGAATTTAGGATCCACAGAGATTGCATCAGGTGGGAAAATGCCTAGTGCTAGCTTTGTGTATGATGCATTAAGAAATATTAGATGAATTTTTTAAATTGTAAGTTTTCAATTTCTTTATTAATAAAAAAATCTCTTTCTATAATGCCTGGCCATGTGATAAAATCAGAAGCATTTTTGATATTTTCCATGCATCTGTCTAGTGAAAAGTAGAGAAAATAAAGAGAAGATAAATATGTTAAGATTCTAGTATCAGAAGTTAAGCATTTAAATATTATGTTTTCATTGTTCTTCCAGATGTTCTCCAAAAATTAAGAAATTCATTGCAAACCTTCTGTAAAATACATCCATTACGTGTTGATACCATGGAGACATTTTTCATTTTGTCGTGTATTTCTCGAATCTGCTAGAATCATGGGTCTATAAATCTCGCCTTCAAATCCTTCTAAACTTTCCAAGCTGCAATGTCTGAAATCCTAAAGAAAAATTATCCCCACCAATTCTGTAACAGCAAAAATCCAGAAATATTTTGGGAAAAAATAGGAGGAAAAAAGTATAAAATTAATTTTATAGAGAAAACTGATGCCCATTCTGAGAATTTTGCATATTCTGAGACAATTACATGGGAAAAACTCTTACTATGAAAAAATTTAGATGAAGACATGAAGAATTATGTAGCTAATTTTGCTTTTGCTAAGAGCTGTTTCGTAAATTGTGCTTTATAGCATTATAGTTTGTTTATTTTTCAGATTAAAAATATTGCATAATAAGTTGCCAAAATGAAACTTTATAATATTACAGCGAAAAATAAAAATGTCTTATTTCAATGTTATTTTTAAGTATAATTTCAATATATTACCATTATTTTAATGAAATTTTTTAATGTTACGATGTTTTAAAAAAAATCGTCGAAAAATTCTCAGATCTCGGAATTAAAAAAGTTTCTATAGAAACTAATCTTAAAATTGCCAAAATGTTGAAACGTCGCCAAATTTAGAACCGTTTAATAAAAGAATTGGCATCCCCAAAAGCAAAAAGTTGTTTAAGAGCTCTTTACTAGAAAAATGACTTTCTAAAGGCTTATGTTTCACTTCTTGCTTAGAAACTCAAGTATCCTATCATTTATATTAGAAATAGAAACAAATTATAACTCATGAACCCATTCAAAAGATAATCATCTATACAGCAGTGAATCGCCAAAAATATTCCTCAAAATGCTAATTCACACTCAAAATGACAGTCGTAAAAACACACAAAAATTTCAAATGATTAAAATTAAGGACCGTCTGCTGATTTTGGCCAAAATTAAGGACTTTTTCAGGACCGAAAATCGATTCCAAAAAATCTAAGGACTTTTCAGGACTCTTAAGGACCGTACGAACCCTGATCTTTAACAGATCAACAATATTTTGATACCATCCTACAGCCGGTTGCATTACCCTTCATGGCACGTCATCCTGGGGCCATTTTCCAACAAGATGATGCTAGGCCACATACCGCTAGCATATCTCTGGACTGTCTACGCGTGGTTGATACTCTTCCTTGGCCAGCAATGTCACCAGACCTTTCACCAATCGAGCATGTCTGAGACATTGTAGGCCACCAGATTCGGGCACCACAAAATATCGTAAATCTGGAGCGACAATTGATGAATGCCTGGCAGGATGTGTCGCAGAATGACATTAGGAACGTCTACCACTCCCTTGCCTCGACGAATTCAAGAGTGCATTTCTGCCAGGGGCGGTTCGACCAACTACCAATTTGACACTCAATGGATGATTGTGAGCCGTGAACAGGTATTATGACCTTGATTTTTTAATCATTTTATTTTCTTTGTATGAGCTATACATATATTCAATTTCATCAAAACCAACCACTTCCTTCATTGTGCTTCAATATTTTTGCAAAACAGTGTATATACATTGCATATATTTTTAAAACATACATAAATGTACTTAAATTATATATAAATGGTATGTAAATTCAATTCGTAATTTTTATTAATTTCAGTTTTAGAAGCATCATTTTTCAAAAAAAACTTTTCTAATGAAAACATATGTTTTTTAGCCCTAAGAGGCAATTTGCTCTGAAGGACTATTAATTTTGTTTTGGCATTTTGTGTTGGTTCACTTTTCAATTTGTTGCTACCAAATGTTATCTGCCTGTGTTATATTTAAAGAAATTAAATAATGAAGAATCTCCATAAATGTATGTATGTTTCTCACACTGGGATAAAACATTACCTAGAGCCATCAAATTTGGAATAACGCAATTTTCTATCAAATATGCTCATCTGGAAGCCCAAATTCAGTACCTAGAGCCATCCAATTTTGAATGATGCAATCCTACTGCGAATATAAAGATCTGGAAGCCCAAATTTGAAATTTGTTTTATTATCAATTTCATATTTTGTAAAACTTTAACGAATTTTTTATTAACAAACTCAGCGATTTCAAAATGAGCAATGGCAACACTGTACAGGGGGGAAAAAAAAACATTTTTATCTCCAACATGCAAGACTGTGAATCGGAGCTTTGTTCATTTTAAAATTATTCTGCGATACTGCTGTTCAATTAAATTTTATGGTTTAAGTGCGAAGAACATGATATTTAATAAAGAAAGGTAACACACAAAACGTTAAAAGACACTGCATAATGTAAAAACTGAAAGCTTTCAGATTTTTTTTAGATATTTATTTATTTTGCTTTTGTGGTAAGGTAAATATGCCATACATTTTTAAATATGCTGCAGTTTTAATCTACGTTTACTCCATTTCTTTTTTTTTTTTTTAGGTTTAATTGAGGAGGCATAACAATTTTAGAAAGGCTTAGGTGAGGCATAGCACAGAAAAAGGTTGGGAAACACTGCTCTAAGTGAACCAATCATATACATATGTTCAAAGATACTATTCAAAAGGAGGTGTACTATTAGCATTTTGAGTGTAAATTGAATAATGGCATAAAAAGAACTGAAATTAACTCACCAACACATTTTCTTGCAAGTTCTGCAATAGCATCACATATTCTACGTCTCAAATTACGATTGACATCTTGCTGTATTCGATGAAGTAGCTGATTTTTTATTTGCCTAGTAGTATCAACTGTTATATTACAAAAAGCTTCTGTAAATTCATTTGACAATAATCTTCTTAACAGAATGGCTGCTAATTCTGCTTCCTAAAATTTTGCAAAAGAAAGATCTTTTAGAGAATAAAATTTAAAAAACAAAATTCTTATAAAAGCAGCACATAATCATTTTTTGATATACAACTTTTAAATTTCAGTTTTATTTCAAGAGAAAAAGTGTATAGAGAATTGGAGGAGGGAAAGTTAATTGTCGTATATCAAAATAAACCGTTCAAAATCAAAACTGCCAGGCCAGGATATATAAAAGTATTTGAAAGTAGCTAAAAGCTTTATCTTATTAAGTACTGATTCTGTATGTTCCAATTATATAGCTCATCAAAATAAGTATGATATATGAGAAAGTTCCAAAAATATCGAATTTAGCTTTTTATATGCTCTTACAGCAAAAGGCTAACTTATAAAATATCCATTATGCACTAAATGTTCGAACTTGTAAAACACAAACATGTTCCTACCTTTAAAAAGCAAACTTCATTACAATATGATAAAACAAATCTGCTGTGACTCCAAAAAATTTCTAATAGCGCTGCATCACTGAATTTAGCTTGTAAAGATACAAATAAGCTAAATTCAGTGAGGCTTTGCCTTAATCAGTTGCTGCTTACCAGCAATCAAGCAATAAATTTGGTGAACACTGGCAGTTCAGTCTTAAGTTCAAATCCTGGCGAATAGGCTGGTTGCATGGGTGTTTTCATGGTTTTCCTCATGTGTATAAGAGCCAGTTTTCCTCCACAAAGTTATTGTTCTCTTTACGTAGATAGCCCTCGACAGCTTTGCCTAATCAAATAAACCAAACCAACCTTAATCACTTAACCTAACAAGTCAGGTGAACTCATCAACACATAACACAAAAGTGATATCTACCTATGGGCTTCACAGAAATTTTCTAAAGGAAACTGAAATGTACTTACATATGGGAAAGCCATGAAAATTCTATACATCAACCCTTTTATTGGGGACTTGACCACTTGACAACTAGTCGTCCCATAATGGTATGAAACTTAATGCATTTAACTTCTAAATCCACATACAGAACTTCAGTTAACTCTTTTACTGTTTGGGGACCATACTAGAAGTTAAATTTTGTACTTTTAAAACCTTTCTGTTGCTAGTAAGACTGGCAACAAAAGTAAATCTAAATGTAATTCTTGAACATTTAGATTTTTACATACACAAAATCTAAATGTTCAAGAATTCTGTATTAATTTTTTAAACAATATTTCTGAATTAATATTCATGTAATTAAAGAAAAACACAACTCCACTAAAATATTTACAGTCTGTAAATATCAGATGCGAGTAATAGTACTTTCATTTAAATTAATTTTATTAAAAGTTGTCTTAGGTAAAGTGGCTGTAATTCCTTATATATTTTTCTTTTCATTAAATATAAGTGATATTCAGGAGGGATCGAAAAAATTAAGCAACACTGAAGTTTTCTGGTAATTCTGATAATATTTATTCCAAACATTCAGGCATTAAATTGCTTACTTGTCTTATTAAATCGTGTTTTTTGTTTCTTATTAACACTAAGTATCTTCGCAGGATTAAAACTGAATATTTCTTCAGTTGGAAGTTGATGGCTTTGATGCTGCCAAATTAATATGCAAATAATTTTATTACTGGTGTATAATTTATTTATTTTTTTTTTTTTTAATTTAGGATGAGGTTCAAACTTTGGAGACTTATCTAACAAAATATACAACTGGGTAAAAATAAAGCTATAATTTATACAAGAGGTGCAAGTATATCATTACATAATGGGTTCTAGGTTTCTATGTATAATACCCATTTTTAAACTAGAATTGAAAACAATACAATAGTAACAGCAGATAAAATAAGCATAAAATGATTCACGATTACATATAAGAAACACGTTTTAAAAACAGAAAAGCTAGTGATAAGATGAAATTAACAAAGGTGGAAAAAACTGATGTCGAACACAAGACTTTTTTCCCCATTGCAATCCAGTGCCCTGACCACTCAGCCAGCTGCGACTATTTGCGTGAGAAAAAATGATAAAACCAGCAGAAGTCGCTGAAATAGTAATCCAATAAATGTTATATGCCCCAGATTGAAGTTCTCCTTGAAAATTTCACAGCTGTATTTTACATAATATTCTTACATAGTCAACTGCTTTATTTTAAAAGTTGTTATTTTGACGAAATTAAGCTTTTGATGTATTTGATGAGATATTTACAGAGGTTTTTGTTACACATGAAATAGCGAACATTTCTAATAACTAAGAATTTTGTCTCACAAGAGAATCTGATTTCATAGAAATTGTAATTTATTTAGGTTCCTAGTGCTGTTCCATACAAGTGAAGCATATGGATAGATTGGTCAGATCAATGCTTCATATATATGCAGTTTTTTTAGTTACATAAGAATTTGAAATTTCTACCAATATAACTGTTTGAAAGAACTGAGGATGCCATAAACAATGCTGATGATTTTATTGAAGTGGACAATTAAGATCTTTTTAAATAAAAACTCACCACTATATAGTTCAACGCCATACTGAAAAGTGTAAACAAGAAGTTTTTTTCAAAATTATGTCACAAGATAAGAACACAGTCAGCTATTGGCTGTTTGTTTACATTGCAGACAAAAACGTTGAACACAAGCGAACTCAGGTTTACACCCTCCATGTAATGCAAATTTATGCTAGTAAAAAATAGCAGTTATTACACAGCAAGTGTGTACTCATGTGGACAGGCCTTGACTTTATTTGGAGAAATGGCAAATGATCGAATAAATTATATTTACGGCTTGAACCACTTCTAACAGCCACGGATTCCAACAAAGCACTATTACCTCCCACTGCCTGGCATCATTCAGATAAAAGCACACACTCTTTTTTCATTTTTTTAAAATTGGTAATATTTTTATCTTTCTACTTTATAATAGGCTGTTAGTTATTATTAGACGTTAAGTTTCCAGCTTAACATTTAGGTATCTTACATACAGTGACATACTTTTACAGGGTTCGTAGCCACATTTTAGTCAAAAAAAAAAATAAGCACCTTTCAAGGACAATTTAAGGAAAAAATAAGCACCTCTCTAATTACACTATACACAACTGCATAAAATTAAAAGAAAAATTAGACTTGTAATTTAAAATATGGAGCAATGCAATATTTATTAAGAGAATGAGCATTACCTCAATCATGGAAAACAATTAACTTTTCTTTTAAATTTTAAATGACAGTTCAATTTACAGAATTAGTTTACAATGAGAGGGGGAAAACTATGCAGAACTAAACTATATTACAAGATTTAATGATGAAATTTCAGTTCAAATATAGAAAATAATAATAATAAGCCATATTAATTGTATTCGTTTGGCACCTACATAAATACAATTTATTTTTCCACTCATATTAATATTTAAATAATTTAACTTAAATCAAAATTCTGAACATTTTCTAAATTTTCATTGCATAACAGTTTTCCCTTAACATATATTCCAAGCAAAGTAATTTAAGTAAAAAAGAGGAACATTTCTGAAATCAGAAGATGGGAAATTGCTTCATGCAGTCATCCTTTAACAATAAAAGCTCAATTAACCCGCATACTCGGAAACTGCCAAATATTCTGGATAGTAACTCGAAAAAGAGGTGTGGGGAGATTGTAGCCGTTCTTTAGATTTCTCAGCTAAATAAATGATTTTTACATTTCGATATGTGCATCATAAAAATAGACCAACGGAACTGAGAAATATTCTGCTTAGAAAGCACAGTAAAACTCTTTTTAAGTGTTCATAAACAAACCTCAGACTGAATATCAAAATTAATTATCTCTGCAAAATACTGCAAACGTTATTGCGCAATACGTGCGGCGTAATTCTTCCACATGGGATATTACGCAATCGGAATCAACAGGTGCCGGTATTCGGAGAATAAAGAACTAAATAAAGGAAAAGAAAGAGACTAATCTGGGGTGTTTCAACAGATTGCGTTAATTTCCGAATAGAATCAATTTTCGCTTGGGTTGGGTGGACACAAAAACTTTTAGTCCTACTCAACCCAGATTGGACAGTGACCAAAAAAATGTCCACTGCTTCAATATTAGAGATTTTGCAGAGAAAGGGAAGAACCTCCCAACCTCCGTACTGTATAATATATTGGAAAAAAAAATTATTTTGACTATTCAATTACTTTCCTTTTATTTAAGCCTTTCCGAATATTAATCCTTAGAAAGCTAATCTGTGTACAAACACACCCATCTTTGGAAGTTTATCTATACTTCAGCAGTTACTGGAACTATATTATCATAAATATTCATGCATATGCTCATAATATAAGCATAATGATTATAATAAACACGAATATGAACTGACCACGCGGAACGAGAATGCAAATTATTAAAATCTTGATAGAAATATAAACGTGTGTAGTATTTGGGTGGGAGGAAAAGAATACCGAATGTACCGGAATTTTCAGCCATTTTCACAATGCTTTGACCAATAGAACGATATGCACCTGTGTGTGCTCTTGCGTGCACCATAGGTTACGTTAATGCAGAGAAGGGGGAAAGCAATTTCCGGGAGTATGATTCAACATCTGACGTTGCATATAAGGAAGAAAGTTTCGGCTTTGGTACAGGGAAAAAATGTGCGTTCATTAATAAAAAATTATTAAAAAAAGCACCAAAAGCAAAAAATAAGCACTAAAAAACAAGAAATAAGGGCTTTAAATAAAAAGTAAGCACCTATAAGGGCCTTTATATTTTATTTTCAAATATAAGGACTTATAAGCACTTGTAAGGACCGCTATGAGCCCTGTTTTACATACATCCTGCTATGTCTGTTTTTGCACAAAGGATAAAAACAGAAGCATTATTTAGCATTCGAGGCTTGTGATATCTGGCGACTGTTTTGCGATCAACAGAGCGTGCTTGGCACATGTAGCTCTTCGCCAAGAAGGGTTAATGTATTTTAAGGGAGTTGCATGTTAGCCTCGGGAGAGGAAGGTAGTAGATTTCGCAACGTTGTAAGAGTGACGCACTGCTCCGAGTTACTATTATGCT